CCGGCCGCGGCGCCCGCCGGGCTCTCGGTTATAAGATGGCGGCGCTGAGCAGCGGCGGCGCGGAGCAGGGCCCGGCGCTGTTCAACGGGGACATGGATCCCGAGGCTGGCGCCGGCGCCGCGGCCTCGTCGGCCGCAGACCCCGCCATCCCGGAGGAGGTGAGTGCCGTGTTTCCCCGGGAAGAGGCGGTGCGGGGCTGGATCCCTCAGCCGCCCTCTCCGCGTCGCGGGGCTGAGAGCGGGCATCGCCCGGGTGCCCTCGCCGCCGGCGCCCTTCGCGACGTAAACACTTGCGGCGGCCCAGGGGACCCGGGAATTCGAGCGGCGGGGCCGGGCCGAGCGGGCGGCTGTCAGCTGGGGCGACAGCCAGGAGCGCGAGAAGGTCACGCCTGCCGGGCTGGCCGGCCGCCTCGGCTGGGGGTGTTCGGGGCCAGGACGCCAGGCCCGGGTGCCGTCGTGGGGGTTTGCATGGAGCGAGGAGGAGGGCCGCCCGCCGCTCAGGCTGGCTGCCCCCTACCTGTTGGGGGGTTCTGCCCACCTGTCCTGCTCCGCGGGCGGTTTCGGTGCAGCCTTGACGCTTTCCCCCTGAACCCCCGGCGCCGCCGTCTTCTGCCTCCGTGTCTCGGGCTCCCTGCCTCGTGTTTGTCAGACCGCCGGCCTGGCTGCTGACCCCATCCCGGTGCCAGCCGCCTCTTCACCGCGGCTGCCACCTGGGCCCATCTCGGCCCCTCTCTTGCCGAGTTCTCCAGAGGCTTTCCGCCTTCCCCCCGCCCCGGAACAAACACGGTTGTCTCCCGAATCCTCCGGAGGCTCGGAGCCGCTTGCCTTCCGAGTCCTGAATCTGTCAAGGTTCCTTCCAGTTCCCACGCTCGGAGTCCCTGTCACCTTGCTCCGCTGCCCGTTTGGGGCCTGTCTTCCCTTGCGCCCTCACCTCTCTGTACCTGCCCGTTTTCTGTAGGTTTGATCTTTGCTTTTTATTATTTTTTTTTTTCCTGTTGTCGTTTTGGTCCCAATTTTCATTTTTTCTCTTTTCCTCTCTTTAGGCCTTGCTTTTCGCAGCCTCTTTTTGCATTATTCAGCCTCTCATCACCTTTTCAGATTCCTTTATCTGCATGTTGGTTTTTATTATGTGTTGCATTTAGTGTTTAACGTTTTATTATGGACAACAATGCACTTTACTGTACTTTACAAATAATAAGCTGGTATGTGGTATAATGAGCCCAGTTGGCTCAGTGGTTAAAGCGTTTGGCTGCTAACTGAAAGGTTGGCGGTTTAAACACGCCAGCTTCTCTGCGGAAGAAAGATGTGGCAGTCTGCTTCCGTAAAGATCACAGCCTTGGATACTCTGTGGGGCAGTTCTCTGGCCTCGAGGGTCACCATCAGTTGGAGCTGACTCGATGGCAGTGGGCTAAGGGGTTAGTGGTGTAATAATACAAGCGCTGCTTCGATAATAGGAGCGCTTCATTGTACTGGTGCTGTTCTGAGTTCCTTTTCCTTCCCACTGCTGCCCACATCTGTGCCCGGGTTCCCATCACCTGCCGTTCTAGCTTCTTCTGTACCGTTCTCTCCAGCTTCACCGTCTTTACTCTGGAAAGTCATCTGATAGGCTTGCTTTATTCAGAATCATTTGTTCACAGTAATATTTGTTTTCCACCCTCTTCCATCACCTCCATCTGTGCCTGAAATGTGTTGTGTACCATCATGGGATTGGATCTAAAATTCCCATATTTATCTCCTCTCTTTCTTAATCAAGCCTCGCCACTTTCCACTTGGCCTTTCTGTTCAGATCCATTTCCTCTAATATCTTACCCTTTCCCCTGACTGCTTGGATTCGAAGGATGAGACTCTTTCCTCCTTTCATTTCCGCATTTATTCTGTCCCCAGTTCCCATTCATTCTGTCTTGTTTCCTGGCTTTGGGTACTTAACTTGTGAAGCTTCCTCTTGTCTTCCCCATACCTCCACATTCCTTCTTATTTATAAACAGCTTTGTTCCATTGGCATGGAAATTTATTTTTAGGATTCATTGTTTTTAGTGGGCAAATACTAGGGGTCACATCTGTCGTCTGTTTTTTCCGTGAATTGGATATGCCTTTGTCTCGCAGGCACAGGTGTCTCTAGGCTTTGCTTGACTCTGTGGTGCATGTGTAGTTTGGTTGAGTTGTAGAGTTGTTTAGAAGACTGTCACAGAGTAGAAGAATGGGTAATTCACTGGGTACAGTTCCAGAATTGTAGTTCTCTGATTGTCATCTTGTTTACACTGAGAACTTGATTTCAGAGCTATTAGAACAGTTTTCAGTGATGTAGAGAAAGCCTTTGTTGAATAAAACCTCTGCTCTGTTATCTTACCTTCCAAGAGCCAGGTGATTTGGAGTCTGAGGATTCCTGGGCTCTCCTCCCTGAAGATTCTGAGCCTTGGATTTCGGTCTTTGACACACTTCTGAGGTGGTTCTCTTGGACGCTGGTGAACGTCTAGGCTGGGTGAGGCTAAGTGTAAATCACCGGTGGTTGGAGAGTGTGTTCGAATCTCCTGAAAGTGGAAGGATACTCTTAATGTTGGGTAGTTAAGAGAGGTGTTTCCCACTGCTCCCTCCACCTGGGTTTGTATGTTTTGGGATGTGTCGTCTGTTTTCCTCTCTCTTTTCTTACAGGAGCTGATGATACATGTATGGGGAGGGGGTAAATGGTCAATCTCTTTTGAATGTAGGCATCAGTGTTTCAGATGGTTGAATGCATTCCTCCAAGAAATAACTTTAAATTTGGAGTTGATGCTGTTAATTTAGTGGAAACTGAACTTTACTTTGTCTTTTAGTTCAACTGTTTTCTTTATTTGCCCTAAGAGGGATACAGTTGCCGAGGACTGGAAAGAAATGAAAAAGTGTGCTCCTGGATAATGACGTATGTTTTATTCTAAACAAATTATCTTGTTGTCGTTTGGTGCCATGGAGTCTCTCTCAACTCATGGCGACCCCATATATACACACAGGACGAAACAGCACCGATTCCTGCCCCCTCCTCACAATTGTCGCTACACTTACCTGACAGTAAAATACAGATGTTTTTACAAAACATTTCTCAGAGGGAAATTTCAGCTACACTAAAATATTTTTTTCTTATTACAGAGGCAAAGCATGTTCATTACAGAAAATTAGAAAAAAGTACAAAAATAAAATTAAATCATTTGGAAATTTGCTGCTTAGATATAGCTACTATGACTGTTTTGGTGAATATCCATCTGTTTATGCATGTGTAATGTACTGTGTGTAGTTTTATAATCTTTTTTTTAACCTAACAGTAAACAAAACTGTTTACATATCATTAACTACACTATGATTTATTTAACTTAATCTTCATTTAGTGTAGTCCTTTTTCGGGGGTAGTATTAGGGTATTTCTGTATTTTTACTATTTGTTATCAAACATCCAGAACATATAATGTCGATTTTAGTTTTTAAAATTATGTTAGGGAGTGACCAAATTTCATTTGTAAGTATGACCCTATAGATGCTCCAACTAGAATGTTCTGGTAAATGACAACTTAGTAAACATTCATCAGTGAACATACTTACACTTAGCAGTAAACATGTACTTCTGACCGTGTGTATTTCCCTGATGTTCCTTCCTATCTATGACCATATGGTACAAGATTACCAGAGTGTGATTTTTACTAGCTATTGTTTTTACACTATGTTTCTGGAGAAGGAACCTCTCATAATCACACTACAATTACAGGTGTATTATTTTCTGTTTTCAAGGTTTCTTACCTCTAATCTTGGTGAAGCTGTGTAATTGTAGTGATGCATCATCTAGGGACTGTTCTGGGGCAGAAGCGCCCCTGTAAGAGGTCCTGTGGACAAACACACATCTTGACCCATGCCGGGGCGGGTTGCATCATGCCTCAGAAAAGGGGGGGTCCCACCAGAGCGTTTGCCGGTACAATTCTTTTGCTGTTAGTATTGTTGTTGTTAGGTGTTGAGTCCAACTCACGGTAAGCTCATGTGACAGAGTAGAACTGGCCCAGAGGGTTCATCTCGTTTTTTGGCCATATAATCAGCAGGGACTGGTCCCTGAAGAAGGACATCATGCTTGGTAACATGGAGGGTGGGCACAAAAGAGAAGGATCCTCAGTGGGATAGTTGACCCTGTGGCTGCATCAGAGGGCTCAGACACAGCAGTGCTTGTACCGTGTACAGGACCGGGCGATGCTGCGTCCTGTTGCACACAGGATCACTGTGACTTGGAGCCCACTTGATGGCGTGTGACAGCAACCGTCTTTACGGGAGCAGGTCTCCAGGTCTTTTCTTCTGTGGAGCTACTGAGTGGATTTGAATCCCCACCCCTTTGCTTAGCAGCCGGGCACTTAAACAGTGTGACAGCAGGACTTCTTTGCCTAGATATATTTGAAGGTGGACAAAATATGTCCTTTAGGCAAAATTAGAAAACAGCTACTATTTTTTTTATTTTTATTTATTTATTTATTTTAATTAGGATTTGGGTGAAGATTTACAGAGTAAATTCACTTTTCATACAGCAGTTCACATATACTTTGTCTCATGTCATTGACCAAAATTTACAATGCAGCAGCTCCCCTCCCACTTCCTCCCCATAGTTACCTCCTCCCAGTGTCCATCCCTTCATACTCTTTGAGAGGCCCATTGTCTGCCAACCCTGTATATGATCTTGGATACACTCTCCATTTAGACATACCTAATTGTTTAGCTTGTTCACCCATCTATCCGTCCCTATACCCATGTTTGCTTTCATTAACAACTCAGTATTGTATTTACAAAGGGGTTCATATTTGTTGTTTGTACTGCCCATGTAACTCTCTCTGTCTTTCTCATCCTCAATGCTGCCATATTGGTCACTCACATTTGGTACATTGCCCTTCTCTTCACCCAAATCAATATTTATCTCTATCTATCTAACAGCATTCCCTCCCCTTCCCTCCCACCCCTGGTAACCAACAAAGAAAATGTCCTCCAATATATAAACATTTCCTTAACTTTTACAATAACGGACTAATACAATATTTGTCCTTTTGTGACTGATTTATTTCGCTCAGCATAATGTCCTCCAAGTTCATCCACGTTATGCGGTGTTTTGCAGATTCTACATTATTCTTTAGCGTTGCATAGTATTCCATTGTGTGAATGTACCAA